CCTAATGTTTGTTTATATACTTGTTCCATATGGATAATATTCTTCACCAGGCAAATATTTCATTTTACCCTTTATTTCTTTACATCTGTAAATGCACTTATTTTTAAAGCTAGGTCATAAGGTTTTATTACCTGTGGGTTCCTTTATTTCCTGTACCTTATAACTCTTCTGTGGAAAGGATTTCCCACCTCCTCACTGCTGTTTTTTGGGCTCTCAAGTCCTAGGTTATTTTATGTATTTCCCATATATAAATTTATATGCATTCTCTCCATTTCCCTGTCTTGAGACATGATTCTTGCACTTATCAAGATGCCTGGTTTGAAACTCTAGATCAAAATGCTCCTTGAGTTTGGCTCTGTGGCAGCACCGACAACACTGTGTTGTAACTATTTATGTGTCTTATCTGCCAGGCCCTAGTATTGTTAAAGGAAATTAGCCTCATTTTTCTCTGTAATTCTACTTAAATAGTCTAGCATTTGCTGTTTCATGAAACCAGAAACTTGGATTCTTAAGGTTTGAGAGACATTCCCTGCTCTTTTATAATTTTATTTATTATTATTATTGTTGTTGTTGTTGTTGTTGTTTTAAGACAGGATTTTTCTGTGTAACAGCCCTAGCCGTCCTGGATCTAGCTCTGTAGATCAGGCTGGCCTCGAACTCACAGAGATCCGCCTGCTTCTGTCAAAAATAAAGACAATATGATCAAAAAAGTTACTAGAGAGAAGGGACTTTTCTGTTGCTGTGACAACACCCCATGACCAAGACAATTTGTCGAAGAAAGAGTGTCCATAATGGCAGAGTGAAGGCATGCCAGTAGGAATAGGAAGCTGATGGCACACATCTTCAACTACATGTAGGAGACATAGAAAGCGAATGCAAAATGCCACGAGACTTTAAACTCTCACAGCACACCTCCACAGTCATATTTCCTCCAACAAGACCACACCTCCTAATCCTACCCAAACAGCGCCACCTGGGGACCAAGCATTTAAGTGCCCAAGACACTGTGGGAGACGTCTCATTCAAACCACTAATGGGAATTTAATGTTCTTCATAAGTACAAGGGAATATTCAACTTCATTAGAGGGTCCTCTGCCAGTCTGCTGCAGGCTAACAGAACCTTGTAGCATCTCATAGATGAGAAACCAAGATTCAACAACTCTGCCTACATTAGTCACCCGCCCCCCCAGGTCAGCTCCCACAGAAAGAGTGTGTGAGCCTCTGTGTAGAGTTCCCAAGCCTTGCTCCTCCTGCCATAACTGATCTGGAGAAACAAAACCATCCCACCTATTTCATCCTAACCCCAGCCCAGTCTGATCCTCCAAAACTGTCTGACTTCTGTTCTTCACGTTCTCGTTTCCAGAAAGCCCTGCGGCTTGTGCCTACCCTGCCCACTTCTCCTCTAACACCATACTGTATATCATCAAATACAGAAAAGTTCATTACAACCACTGTCAGTAGCATCTTGTATTTGATGTTGCTTTGTTTTGCTTTGTTTCTGCTCCTGTATCTGTTTTCTCCTTCCCCAGAGAGATGCTTTCTGTATCCACCAATCGCCACTGGACTTTATGTTGGCTACTCTGCACAATACAATTCTATGTTATAGGGCAATTTCTATCTTAAAAACACACACAAACACAGCTCATTAAGCTTGTGATGAGTTGTTTTCTTAAATTATTCGCCAAGAATTGTTCTCAGGCAAGAACTCAACCCTTTCAAATGGCCAGATCAGACAAGATGCACACACGTCTTTGGGGAGGATTGCTTGGATCTGAATGCTTCCTTCCCTTCTTTTTATTATTGTCACTGCCTTTTAATTTCCTCTATCTCTGAAGCAGCATCTTCCTGTAGAGAGAGCTTTAAAGTGAAACACATGTCTCATGCCAAAAGGGCTGAGTTTAGGGCTCAAGGGATTTGGTGAGTGATGGAAGAGGCGACTTTGAGGAAGGATGGAAATTGCTCCTGTGGAAGCCCCTGTGAGCCAGAGGAGAGAGCAGCTGCAGTCGGGATGGAAGATACTGTTTTTATTGAACTCTGCGAGATGATGGGGTGCGGAGAGAGTCATGAGAAGAGAAAGGCTTCGAATTACTTGTGGTCGGTGTGGTATATGGGAGGCAGTGACTCCTGAGTGTGGCTCGTTATTGGTAGGCAACCGTGATGGAGCACTGTGGGTATCACCACAAAAGAAAGCTGCAACAGGACCAAACAGGCTGTGGCTAACAAAGTTGGTTAATAAGAACCCCCAAGAAAGATAATAACTATGCCTTGAAATTGTTGAGAGGATCCCAGTATCCAGGAGTCTTTTTAATGTGGATAGGACCCAGAACCAGGGTGAGAAGATATGCTAGCTAGTTTTTATTTCACAAGCTAGAGTCAAGTGAGCAGAGGGAACCTCAATTGAGAAAATGCCTCCCTGATATTGGGCAATAGGCAAGCCTGTAGGACATTTTCTTACTTAGTGACTGATGGTGGAAGTCCCAACCCATGTGGGTGGTGCCAACCCCTGGGGATGATAGTCCCTGGTGCCATAAGAAAGCAGATTGAGCAAGCCATAAAGAGAAAGCCAGTCAGGAGCCCCCCTCTATGGCGTCTGCACTTTTTAAAGGAAGGAAAGGGAGATGCTGTAATTAAATTATAATCTCAATAATAAAACAAAATAAAACAAAAGTTTTTTACAAGAAGAAGAACAACAACAACAACAGAGGGGAACCCAAAGAGAAAGATACCCGTGTTCAACTGAAGCGCACAGAGAAGCACCCTTTGTGAGGAGCCTGGGCTACACTGACCCTGATTCCTATGAAATCAAAGCTTAGTAGTCACCCCTAAAGAAGTAAAAGATGGAGACCATAAAAATTTTGTGTGTGTTGAAACCAGATCACTGCTGGTAACAGGAGGCAGGGTCTTCAGGGAGATACCTAGGTCATGTGGATTGAGCTGTCAGGGATAGACTTGGATCCTTAGAAAAGACAGGGTCCTTGTAAAAGACCCCGCAGGCCTGCCTTGGCTCTTCCATTTTGTGCTGACACAGCCGTGGTGTGTTAAAGAAACCAGGGCTCAAGTGCTCACTTGACCTTGGATTCCCCAGACCCTGGGGCTGGGCAAGATGCATTTCTGTTGCCTGAGAGTGCTACTTAGCCAATGGGATTATGTCACAGAAACCAAATAGGCTAAGATGGTGCCCTGATGCTAGGTGCCTCCGCAGAGAACCAAAGTCACCAAGTCGGTGTTCACTGCGTGAGGAATCACATGTCACCACGACATTACTGGAGCCTTTGTTGTGACTATTAAAAAAGTATGTGCTCAAAACATATACAAGCCACCTCTTATTTGGATGTATATCAAAAGCAATGGATGCATGGCAGTGAAGAAGGCTGGTAGGTTTGCAGACAGGCTAAAGTGACCCTATTAAAAACCTGTGACAACAGGAACTGTAAACAATAATGTGCTGCTGGGGACACTCACATTCTATTAAGGTCTGGAGGCCTCTTTAGAGCCTTGCTGTCACTGTTAATCAGGGGGAGCATGCAGACAGAAGGAAAAGCATGAGACACAAAAGCCCCGCTTCAGGCTTAAGTTAAAGTGAATGTGGCCTTGTGCTTGGAGATGCTGTCGGTTATTACTCCTTTTAGGGAGCAGACACAAGTCCCCATCATCTTGTTCTTACCACAGCACACAAATGCATACATGCGTGCACACACACACACATGCACGCACGCACGCGCATACACTCAAGCATGCACACACATATGTATAATCATCCCAGAAAGGGAGCCTACAACAGATCGAACTATTGATATATCAAAGCCTAACCAGGTTAGCCAATGTGTTTTTATGGGGTCACTAACAGAATATGGGTGATGGATCATTTGCATGAGCAAGTCTGCCTCAAAAACAGCTGCATCACTAAAAAGCCCCCCCCACACACACACACGAGTGAATTCTCAGGAAAGCTGCAACCCTGGAGCTCTCTGCACAGTGTAAAGGCAGCTCAGCAGTTCCAGAAGATCGCCTATGTAACTGAGCTGGTCAGAGTGGAATCCCCAGACATTCTTTTCTGTTCCTATAAATCAGGAAGGGGCTTCCAAGAATCTGTGTCAGCTTTCCCAGCCATGTGAAGTTTGTTTACCTGTGGAGTCTGCTAAGCTTCCCACTCTGCCTGGCAGGGAATATTTCAGTCCAGAGGAAACTGCAGAGCCCAACCTGGCTTTTCCCATCCCTCTCCTCCACCTTCCCCCTCATCCCATCCTGCAACCCACAGGACACTTTCCTCAGTTTGTTCAGTGAATCCTTAACAGTCTCTCGCCTGTCACTCCTGAGTACTCTGCCCACTTCCCTGCACATCCCCCTCATGTCACCAACTCATCAGCTCTCAGATGAGCACAGAAGATTCTCATCTATGAACTCCTGTTTGCACTCTCCTTTCCTGAACACTTGGTATGGTGCACTCTCCCCTTGGTAATGTCACATGGAGCCATATTGCTTAGCATTTACCAGTGACATGCAGTCAGAAGTGGTGTGTGTCATGCCCAGCCTGAGGCAGTGGACGCTTGTGGCTTTTATGTCTTGTGGCAAATGCCGGGACCTCTTGGGGAAGGCAGAGCAGTCAGAATGAAGCGAGATCTCTGAGTGAAAGAAGAAAAGAGGGTTATCCGAGCCAATAGTGACCTTTCGTTGAAATAAAAAGCAAGAAGTATCTTGTGAATACTTTACATTTGGAAACAGTCGTCACCTCTGTTGAACAGCAATTTCCTCTGAGATAATGACAACATTAAATCCTGTAGGAATGCCTTCAGACTCGGGGTGTTTTAAAGGGGATCCCTTAAGACCCAGGAAGTAAACAACTCAAAATAGCTTCAGGAGTTCCTTAAACTGACCAGATGCATCAAGACCCACCTGTTCAACCTCATATAAACCATAAGGATTACTGAGAGACATTCTTAGACTGGCAGAGCTACCTGGAAGAGACACTGACCCTCCCTCCTCTGTACACTGTCTTCCAGGTCTCCAGCCTCCACAAGCCATCACCCATTCTGGAATTGGCTTTTGGTGACGCAGCTGCCTTTGAGTCATTTCTGCTCCTGTAAGTGACCCTCCATTCATCCTCCCATAAATACACCATTAAACTCATTTGTTCACGAAAGTGGCATGTATTCATTTTGGTCTGTCATTGGTCCCCTTTAGAGGGTGAATAACTGTTCATGTCTCTCCAGGATTAGTGACAACACTAAGTGATCCTCTGGCTTCAAACCTCTTGTACAAAAATTATGGCTGAATTCTGTGCTACCAGAGTAAAAACCTAGTTCATGTGAGTTGGTCTTAGCACTAGTGACAAATGGAAGAGATTTGATATTCAAGGCCCTAATAGTGCTACTCCATATTGTATAAACTGGTACCGTGTAGGATGTTTTCTTTTTTTCCCTTCCCTTTTTTAAAATTTAAGTTAGAAACAAGCTTGTTTCACATGTCAATCACAGCTCCCTCTCCCTCCCCTCCTCCCCTGCCCTCCACACAAGACGGTCCCAGTCCCCCAACCAATCTCTACTCCAATCCCCAAGGAGGGTGAGGCCATCCATGATGGATATCCAGAGTCTGTCATGTCATCCAGGGTAGGGTCTAGGCCCTCCTTCAAGAGTCCAGGCTGAGAGAGCATCGCACATTATGGCATGGGCACTCGAAGTCTATTTGTACACCAGGGATAAATGCTACCCAAGGTCCCATAGATTACCTAGGCCTCCTCACTGACACCCACATTCAGGGGGTCTGGGTCAGTCCCATGCTTTCCACACAGCCATCAATATGGGGTCCAAGAGCTCCCCATTGTTCAGATCAACTGTTTCTGTGGGTTAAACCAGCCCACTCTTAACTCCTTTGCCCATCAGTTCTCCCTTTCTGTGACTGGATTCCAGGAGTTCAGTTCAGTGTTTGTCTGTGGGTATCTGCCTTTGCTGGATGAAGGCTCTGTTTCCCAGATTCTCTGGCAGTAGGACTGTATGCTGGTACTCCCCTGATTCATGTCTAAAATCATAAATGAGTGAGTACCTACTATGTTTCTCTTTTTGTGACTGGGTTACCTCACTCAGGATGGTTTCTTCTAGTGCCATCCATTTGCCTGCAAATTTCAAGATTCCACTGTTTTTTTCTGCTGAATAGTACTCCATTTCAAAGGCTGTATCCATACTGACAGACCTACAACACTGATCAGAATCATGGGCTAGAGAGATAGCTCATCTGTTAAAGGGTAGTCTCACAACCAGATGTCAAGAATCAAACGGATATGTTTCAGAAACAGGTGAACTGTCAAAGAAACCTGGAGGCCAACTTGACTACCAAGGCATTAAGATCAGTTTATATGCCTTCCCTCTTTACCCAAGCTTCTGGAGTTGACATCTGTGAAGTACTTGGTGAAGACATACCCTGAGTGTTTGGTTCAGATGTTGCCTACAGTTAATTAGAAAAGGTTGCAGCTCTGAGAAGAAGGGGGAACTAGGGGCCACAAGCCATGGTGGGTGAGGCAGCTGGTTGTGGGCCTCATCAAAAAAACTCTTTATCCTCAGGTCAGGGCTCCTCAGCCTTTTCATTGTTGATATTTGAGGTCTGGAAGGGTCTTTGTTTTTGTTTCCTAATCAGGAAATTGTCCTGTGTGCAGTGGTTTGGATAAGTATTCCCAAAGACTTATATGTGATCAGCCTCTGGTTCCACAGAGAAATGGTATTGCCAAGAAAATAGTGGTGCCTTGTGGGAAGAAGCTTGATCATTGCAGGCAGTCCTGGAGGGCATACTGGGAGCCCAGCCCCATCTCTTTCTCTTTCATTTCTCAGCTTCCAATGAGGTGAGCAGCTGTATCCTACCACATGCTCCACCCCCACCCCCAATGTGTCCTTTCAACAACCAAAAGCAATAAGATCACCTGACTATAGACTTAAACCATGAAACTGTGAGCCCCAATAGCCCATCCTCTTTGACACTGATTTATCTTAGTTGTTTGGTACAGTGATGGAAGGCTGATCGCCATGTTGTGTACTGTAAGGTCTTTAAAGTCCTTCTGGACCTCTGTCTAATCCATGGCATGAACTTTCTCCCCCAGTTGTCACAACAACAACAACAATGATGACGATAACAACAACAAATATCTCTATACATCATTAAAGGTCCCTAACGAGGACAATTCCCAGGAAAGAAACCCTTCCCAGAGTTCAGGGGCCAGAAGGTTTACCAGGAGGGTTTCATCACAGCCACAAACTATCGGTTGTTTAGTCTTTCCTTATTCTGCTCCTTGACAGGTGAGAATGTTTGTGTTGATTTCTTCTGTGCCATCTCCCAGTCACACATGGAAAGCAGGTTCATGTCTGTTTCTAGTTCATAGGTCTGCAGATCAAGGGAACCCAATGTTCATATATGATTTATACTGAGATTCTGAACATTGAGTTTGTCTTCTTGGCTGGGATGCTGAACCGATTCAAAAGATGTATTGGATTGTATGCTATGTGTGAAATAACAACTTTATTGAACATCTGGTGACCAGAAGAATGGGTCGTGGCAGAGGCGATGCTACACATTCAATAATTCTCCTTTATATTCTTCCTTTCTGGACATATGGCAAGTACTCTGTCTAGGCTTCCAGCTGTGTAGTAGAATCTTGGGACTGGCAGCATAAGGAAATATTACTAAAACAGTCCCAAAAAGAACCATTAAGGCAGTTCAGCTGGTGATGCTACCTGCTGCTGAGTCTGATGCAGGAGTTTAATCCTCAGGACCCACAAAGTAGAAGGAGAAAACCAACTTCTGCAGGTTGTTCTCTAGCTTCCATGAGCACACCATCCCATACACACACACACACACACACACACACACACACACACACACACACACACACGTGTGCGAGCCTGTGCAGGCAAATAGATAATTAAAATGTACTTAAAATTAAATATGCTTCCTACAGAAAAATTTAGAAAAAAAATACCTGTGTCAGTTAAGCCACTGGGACTTGGAGGATGTTCGTTACCACTGCATGGCCTGTGGCTCACAGCAGCTCAAGTGTCAGCCATTGGGAAGTCACCCTGACTCTCCAACCTCAGGTCCAAATTTCACATGTTCCATGATTCCTCTAACTTGGCACTTGCCAGACTACATTGAATTTGTCTGTTTGTATTTCTTTCTTGTTGGAGACAGAGGCTATGCTGGCTGGTTTTATCTCAACTTGACACAAGCTATAGTCATCAGAGAGGAGGGAACCTCAATTAAGAAAATTCCTCCATAAGATCAGGTTATACATAAGCCTGTAGGATGCTTTCTTAATTAGTGATTGTTGTTGGAGGGCCCGGCCCATTGTGGGTGGAGCCACACCAGAGTTGGTGGCCCCAGGTTCTTTAAGCAGGCTAAGCATGCCGGGAAGAGTAATCCAATAAACAGCACCCCTCATGGCTTCTGCTTCAGGTCCTGCCTCCAGGTTCCCTCCTCGTTTGACTTCCTTCCATGATGAATGAGGATGTGGAAACATAAGCCAAATAAACCCTTTCTTCCCCAAATTGTTTTTGGTCGTGATGTTTCATAACACAGCAATTAAAAAAAAAAACCCTACCTAAGACAGGGACCTTGTTAAATACCCTGGTAGGCCAGTATTTGTTGAGTGACCAAATGATTGCTAATATTGTTTGGTGAGTCTCAGAACACACCAAAGAGAGGTAGAGCTGGTTCTGGTGAGTCTTCATGTCCCATTGAAATAGCAGGAGAGGATACCGCTTGATTAGGTCAAACTTGAAGCCCCTGAAGGTTGTAGCTGATGACATACACCTAATTAATGCTCTCTTGATTGTAGTAGTTTCTCTATCAGAACATGAAGGAGAGCAGGAAATACAATAACTCCCCAATCACTTTCAACCCCAGAATTGTTCCAGCAGAGCCCATGGGCTAAGTTGAGACAAATTTAATTTTGATGACCTTTCTCTTTCTGAGATGTGAAAGGGAGATTGAAAGGAAGTGCTTGAGGCCTGCAGCAAAACAATCTTCTCCATGAGAATGTGATGTGGGAGGGTTTTAAAGCAGCATGCTCCCTGGAAAGCTAATGACTCAGGGCTCCCACAGAAGGGTCTTATTAGAGAACTGACGTCTACCATGGATCATGATCAAAACCCACGAACCATATGCTTTCCCAGTTGTTCTTGGGAGGAAAAAAGTCTAGAGACATTTGAATGTGCAGGGTAGCACACTCCTTGTGATCTGTTTAATAGTGACTACATGGCACCCTAGGACAAGATGTATTGCACTATTTGATAAGTCAGCAAACCTTTGTGCACCATGTTGGAGCAGATAAGACCTGATATGGGTGGCTATTGAAGATTATGAAGAAACTGGACTTACTTCTTTATCTGATCCATTTTGGAACATACTACAAAAGCCCCATTTAGTTTTAGTGCTTAGTGGAGAACAAGGTGGATTTTAAACTGTCAATAAAAATGGACTCATGCAACAGAGACGATAAAAAGCAAAAGTCTCACATCATTTGTCTGAAACATCTTTGTTTCTGGCTAATGCTAAGCTATAACTAGACTTATAAAACATCTCCAGTCTACAATATTCCAGCTGAAAAGGGAATTCTGGTGCAGAAAAGACTTCTGAGGTTTCCCTCTAACCATGATGTAATAACTAAGAATTAAAGATCCATGGGGGATTCTACAGGAGAATTAAGGAATGCTATAGAATTACAAGTCTAAGGTAAATCACTATGCAGTATCCCCACACCACAAAATTCTTTTTAAATATGATACAAGCAATGGTTAGAAAAGGAAGTTAGAAGTGTTTTCCCTCTTGGAGTTGGTGGCAAGAGGAAACCAAACGAAACTAAACAGGCTTTCAAAGCTTTGATAATCTGCATGACTCAAGACTTTGGAGAAGGCATGGTTTAGCTCATGCTCCTTTGTGCTCGTGTGTGTGTGTGTGTGTGTGTGTGTGTGTGTGTAAACCTCTGTATTGGAAAGATTAGAAGAATAAGAAGCACACGGTTTTGCCATAAAGTTCTGTCAGATAGTATGACTTGACACTTCTCCTATAAGGACTGAATTTGCTTGTGTGCTCATGTATATGGAAACCAGATGTCATCCTCACTGTGAGATAT